CCCCCCCCACTCCGTTTTGTGGCGCTCCCTCCTGTGTGACTTGGCTCTCCTCTTGGTTCCCTTTCCCCCAGTGGGCCAGTTTTACTTCCTCATCCGGAAAAGAATCCACCTGCGGGCCGAGGACGCCCTTTTCTTCTTCGTCAACAACGTTATCCCCCCCACCAGTGCCACCATGGGGCAGCTCTACCAAGTGAGTCTTCTCTCCCCCCCACTTTCACCAACCGCCTTTTCTAGAGAAAGAGAGAGGAGGAGAAAGGAGAGGTAGACAGAGAAAGAGGAGGAAAGGGAGAGAAAGAGGAGATGGAGAGAGGAGAAAAAGGAGAAAGAGGACAGGAGAAGGAGAGAGGAGGAAAAGGAGGGAAGATTTAGCCTCAAATAGTTGGTCAACCTCAGTAAACAACACATTGGCAAAAGATAAAAGGGAAAAAAAACATGGAGAAAATGAAGGCTTGAGAGAAACCCCAACCTCTTAGCCAGGTTGAGTTCCCATCCACCCTCAATCTTCCTGCTAAAAATCTATTCTGATTTATACTTTATTTATTTGGCCTGGGAGATATGCAAGGAGTTTGTCACCTGTACACAAGCCAGTGTCCTTTCCAAACAGCAGAATTGTATAACAAGGAAAACTCGGCATACTTCCAAAACTGCTTATTATCTCTTTTATTCATTATTAAACATGAAACTCAGTCAACATTTAAAAATGTATCACAAAGTAATTGATAAGGGTTGCTGCCAGCATCCCAGGTATCGACCAAGCACTTTCAAAATGGCAGAATAATACTACAAGTAAAAAGGAAAACTCGTTGCACTTCCAAAACTAATTACTATTTAACATTAGGAATAATAACACAAGCGTGCAGCCAATAAAAGAAAGCAGCAAAAACCTATAAAAGGGGTAAATAGTAACCCTTATTGTGATAGTTTACGGTTTCCTGCTATTTTTGACTAGGTTGCGTCAGTTTCCCAATAAAGTAAAACCCAACTCTGGGTGGGAAAAAGGTTGATGGGAGCTGTAGTCTTTGGGACTGAGAGAGTAGGTCAGCAGGTGTATTTGTTGAGCGGGTTGGGTTTCTGGGGAAGGGGCTTCAGACCACCTCTCAACCCTGCTAGTCACACAGGTGATTTATTTGGGGGTGGAGGGAGTGCCTTTGACTTCCTCAAGATAAGGCCGTGTGTAAATTTTACAAATCTTATTATGGTTAGTTGGGTGGCTTGATGCTTTGATCTAACAGCATCTCCCCCCTCCCCATTTCAGGAACACCACGAGGAGGATTTCTTCCTTTATATCGCCTACAGCGACGAGAGCGTTTATGGCACCATGTAAGACCCCTGAAGTCCACTGGCTGCCGCCGAGGGGCACGTTGCCCGCCGAAGGGACCTGCACTTTCTGTTGTTACTTGTTAATTTTGTTTAAAAAGGTTGTGTTTTTCTTTTTCTTTTTTTTTGCTTCAGGAAAATGGGGGGGGGGGTTCTTTCTCCTTTTCCCCCCCCCCACTCCCCACCCTTTAATTTCTGGCTGTGAATCTTTAACTCTCTTCCTCTTTTAACTCCTTCCCTCCTTTCGGTTTTCTTTTTGAGGTTGGTTGTGGCTAAAATTAAAATACCTCCTCCCTTGCATCGTCCCCTATGTGCTTGATTGCTTTCTTTTCTCTCCTTTTCTTTCTTTCTTTTTTTCCTCTGTTGAAAAAGGTCATCTGGAATTTCTCTCCAAAAGCAACAAGGGAAACAAACCCCCCTCTCTCTCTGTTTTCGGTTTTCTTTTCTTTTATTTTTTTCCTTCACCACGCACCCCAAGTTTTGCTTTTTTTGTCCGGGAGGCGTGTTCGCCTGGCAAGACTTCTGTAAACCAGTGTTTTCGGGGATGGGAAACAAACGCAAATTAAAACAAAACCAAAAAAAAAGTTATATAAAAGAGAACGTGTCAGACTCTGGAGAATTATTTTATTGTCGATGTGTTTGGTTTTTTTTAAAATATGGCGACCGACATTGCAAAAAAATCTGGGACAGCTGAGTTGAATAAGGAAGGGGGAAAGGGATGGGAAAGAATGTCCGGTCCAGCGTTTTCTCAACACATTGGAATAAGATTACTTTCTTGTCCTTGCAACTCCTACAACGAAATCAAACACCATCTTCAGGGCTTATCATGACCATGACCATGAAAATAATGACAACCACACATCCTTCACCAACACTGCAGAGTTCAGAAGAGAGCTCCTGCCCTTGGATAGAAGCTGTTTTTCAGCCCATTTGTCCTTGTTTTCATTCTCCTGCACCATCTGCCAGATAGCAATAGCTCAAAACAAAGGTGCCCGGGATAAGATAAATCTTTGAGAACGTCTTGAACTTTCTTAAGGCAGCTGGGGCGATAAAGCTCTTCCAAGGAGGGGAGAGGGCAACCCATGGTCGGAATTCCCCCCCCCCCCACCCCACATTCTGTTCCAGCCCTAGAAGGGGATTTGATGGTGCTGAGTCAAGCCTGAAGAACCTTCCAGAAGAGCGGCGGCTTTTAGTAAAAGGGAGAAGTGGGAGTTCAATGCAAAACAGGTGTCCTCCCAAGCTGTGATCTCTAGCAGATGGAGAAAGCCAATTAGCAGAGGAGAGTCACCTTGGCAGGTGGGGGCTTTTAAGCAGTGCCTCAAGGCTACATGGGTTTGATTGGCAGGTGAAGGGTACCCCCACTCCCAGGACTTGCATTGGGCCGCTCAAAGAGGCAACTTGTGGCCTTCCAACTCTCCCTGGCCTGCTTACTCTCTTGTGATCTCAGTACTCTAGGAAGCTATGATGGGGTTGGGGGGGAACAGGCAGGTTTTAATGGGGAATTCTAGGAGTTGGCAGTCCCACAAGTCTTGGAAGGTGCCAAGTCTGGAGACCCTCCCCCCCGCTCCCCGGGACAAGGAACCCGAAATTGCCTCTCTTAGCAAGTTTGATCCGCTCCCACCCCCCTTCTGATCTTTTGTACCATCCTAGTCTGGCTCTTGTGACCATTCTCTCTAACAAACCATCATTTGAGACTTTCAAGAAGAGATTGAACTCCCATCTGTCAGAAATGGTGTAGGGTCTCCTGCTTGGGCCAGGGTGGGTTGGGCTGGATGACCTCCAAGGACCCTTCCAACACCACTGTTTATTATTCTGTTATTCAGAAATTGTGGGAGCTTCATCCCTAAGAAGCTTTTCAAAAAGAGGCCAGCCTGCCATCTGTCAGAAAGGGTGTAGGCCTCCTGCTTTGGCAGGGGCGGTTGGGCTAGATGACCTCCAGGGTCCCTTCCAACTCTGATGAACTGTTATCTGTCAAAAAAGCCGCGGGGGGGGG